CAAACTCTGGAACTCACTCCCACCCGACATCCGAAATATTGACTCTCTTCCTATATTCAAAACTCATCTTAAAACCCACCTATTTAAAATTGCATATACAGTTTAAACTCATCACTTTTATTATTTATAATTTTATCTGTGGTTTTATTGCTCTTTTGATTGTAAAGTGTCCTTGGGTTTTTTGAAAGGCGCTTATAAATAAAATTTATTATTATTATTATTATTATTATTATTATTATTATTATTATCCGTTTAACAACATTCAGTAATGGACACGTGCATGGGACTAAGTGTATTAATCTGCATTTGTGGGTGTGTGATGCTAATATACTGTGCAAGTCTCATCTTTTTTGATTTAATGTTTTTCCAAATCATTCATCCATCAAAATCGGCCCTTTTCTATAGTGTTTATCATATTAACTGGAGCCTATCCCAGCTGAATTCAGGCGAAAGGCAGACTCCACCCACCAGTCAATCATGACAAATGGGAACTGAAACACCATCAGTGACTCCCGTTTCCAAATAAGTATAAAACAAAAACTCAGGTCCTGACATGACAGCCAAATTGCCTTTTGAAGTAAGGGGCCATGACTCAAGAATATGCGTGCATATATTTTTAATCTCTTCTATTACATGTTAAGGGTAAGGGTTGATTTTCGTCCCTGTTGAAAAAGGATTTTATTTTTTTTTTTTTCAGTGAGTTTAAATGAGTCACTGATGGTGAAGTGGTTAACTCGCGTGTTTCAAGTGCTGTCACCGGCGACGTCCACATTGAGTGGTCAAAATAGACATTGCACCTCATGGTCTTCAGGCACCTTGAGTCAGTCAGCATTGAAAACGGAGCAACCTATGCAACTCTGCAAAGGACGTCTCACCCGTGCAGATCACGACAGGCCAAAGCCGTTTCATGTTTGTTGTCTTTAGTTGTTTTGAAATAATATTTTTATCGTACAGTTAGAGTTTATTACTCCAAAATGAATGAATACATTTGGATTGAATAATTTTAGGAAAAGAAAACTAAATTGCTTCAACAAATTACAGGAGTCTTGAGAATGTAAATGCTCAGTGGGCTGGATAAAAGAATGGAGCATGCTTTGTGGTGGAGATGCATTAGTGTTCAAACGTTAGTGATTTAAAAGAGTGCCGCTTGAGCAAATGTGACACTCACCCAATTGAATTTCTCCTCCTGAAGGCGGCAAATCTGTTTGGTGCTCATCGTTCCACCATCATCACTGTCTACAATGGGGCCTTCGACAGTTCCTCGGGTGTCTTCCTCATCGTGAAAGTGCGTCTAAGTGGGAGAGATGCATTTTGGCAGATGTTAATATTTATCAATGACGATCTTCACTTTGTCGCGACAGCTCATGTATCAGGAAGGCATCCCCCTGAAGGCCAGCTTCCTGTTCCTGGCCGCCGGCAGCATCCATCACATGCTCAGGACCATCTTCCTGTTTCCCAGAACCTCAATTCCTTACCCGCTGCCTGACAACTACAAATATGGGTATGAATCCTAAACACTGTTCATCAGAGAGGGCATGGAAGGACAAACAAGTGTACTGGGCTGAAAAGTAGCAATCTTTGAAGCAGACATATTATGCAAAATTGAGGGCTTGCCCACACACAGGTGTGAAATTCACCCTCTGGGCTCTATGCTGGCCTTTCGGCTCCACTTCGCTTCCTTTTTTTTTAACTATTTCAGCTGTTTAATGAAAAGTTAATGAAACCTCCCGAGAGTGTACGTTTAGAGTAGTGAGTAGTAGGCCCACACTTTTCTCTCATAGTCCTCTCTGACCTCAGGATATCCTGCAGAAGATCAAGACAGTCCCATGAAACTGTGCAGACCGTCTTTCAGTCGCCAATAGATGAGACACCACCTGCAGAGAATGCACCAGAAAAACCTGGTATGTGCAATTATGAATTATTCTAACACACTTCAAAAAAAAACAAAACAAACATGCCTTTCCATCTTATCTGCATTGTCCTCTTCAGATAAGACTTTCCGTGAATGCGTTCTATCAAAATTCTTCTTCTTGGTCCTCCTATGGTTGTCTGTGATTCAACTGAGACATTATCTATTCATTGGCACCCTCAACCCCATGCTGGAGCGTCTGGCTGATGGCGATGCATCAGTTGGTATGTAGACACATGCACGCATCCACCGACACTAACACACATAAACCCACCCACCCAACAACACATGCACGCACATTTTACCAACCACACTTCACCACGGTGGAGGGGTTTATGTGTCTCAGTGACAGTAGGAATGAAGTTGCCTGGAGCTTTATGCCCATGGCATGGTCACCCATGGCAAACAGGACCGAGTTGAGGGACCAGATAAAGCACGAGCAAGGGTGCACTTGATGATGGACTTGATGCCGCATTTCTTGTTGGCTTGGATGAAGAGAGGAACTAAGCAATCAACTGATGATGGTGTGTTGGCTCCAGTGCTGGGGGAAGAGGCTGGTCTGACCTGGGAGACACAAGTTTATTGGGAGGGTCTGCTGGAACCATATGGCAAAGTCCCCTTTCAGAAAGGAATTCCAAATCCCATCTCCAACAGAACTTCCCAGGGGAGGCTATGGACATTGAGTCAGACTGGACCGTGTTCCACACCTCCATTGTTGAATTGGCCAGCCGGAGCTGTCAAGTGGTCTGTACCTATTGCTGCAGCAATCCCATAACCCGTCACTGGAGGTGATGAATGCCGTCAAGATGAAGGAGTTCTATCGTGCCTTTTTGGCCTGTGGTACTCCTGAGGCAGCTGATGAGTACTGACGGATGTTCCATCAGTCTGACAGAATGACGGAATGCCCAACCCTGCATACAACTACCAACACTTACTTGCATGCATACATGCACACACCTGCACAAATCCACCAGAATACATGCGCACACACAGCCTCACGCACCGTCATGCACTCGCAGGAATCCCCTTACACACACACACACACACACACACACACACACACAGTAGGGTAATGGGTAATATTGGCTGGTCGCATATACTATCTTCACTGCTTCCACTGCTAATCGAGAAGTGACATGTTAAATCATGTATCTGAACTTGTGTGTGTGTGTGTGTGTGTGTGTGTGTGTGTTGGCAGTGAGCCAGTACATCAACGCTTTTGCTTTCTGTCAGATGTGCGGGTTACTTGTTGCTCCCATTAATGGCCTCATCATGGACCGACACAAGCGCAAACCCCCAGTAGCAGGTAATAACACACATGAACAGGGAGGCAGATGGGATTACATAAATACATAAATTGTGTATGTATGTGAATATATATATATATATATATATATATATATTCATACACACACACACACACACACATCTTTTTTTTTGCTATAGTGTGATAATCTTCTCTCTGTGTGTGTGTGTGTGTGTGTGTGTGTGCGCGCGTGCGCGTGTGTGTGTGTGTGTGTGTCCATGTTCATAGGAATGAGTGAACAAGAAGCAGACCTGAATTCCGCAGTAGTCTCCTTCTTCCTGACATCACTGATGGCCTTGGTGTTCTCAATTTGCGCTTCCATTCCCGTGTTGCCACTCCAGTACTTCACTTTTGTCATGCAAATGATCAATTACAGCTTCCTGTATGGTGGAATGGCTACTTTTGTCACTGTGGCGTGAGTAAAGTTAAATGTATTCCTACATATTCATGCCCAACTGTATTCAGAAAACAGGCATACATTCAGAATAAAAAGGTAGAGTAGATCAGCGAAAACCAAAACTGAGATGAGATATGAAAATCACAGGACAGGCAAGAAGTGTTGATTGGTGAATGGCAGAATATTTTCTCTGCGAATAAAAACATATATATACACACTTCGCAAACAGTAATGTCTACTGGAAAGTGTCATAACCAGGCTTGGACACAGGACACAGTTGCAGGGGTCAAAGTAAAATGATTTATTTATTTGAGGATCAGCGGCAAAAAACTCAAAATAGGAAAGGCTGTGGAAACAAGGCAAGGTCTGGTCAGATCTGTGGCGAGAGGCTGAAGTGCCGGCACAAGGACGAAATACACTGACACAGGACAAAGGGAGACAAAGACCATTTAAACACAGGGGAAGGGGCAACAGGTGGAAACACTCAGCACGGGGCTTACAATCAGACTGGCACAGGAGGAAAGGTAAGTGACCTGAAATGAGATGAGAGTTACTCTTTCAAAATAAAACAGGTAGTGACCAAACAAACAAACCACCCTCACCGCTGCGTGACAGAAAGCAAACGACAAAAAAAAAAGAAAACATCTTTCATTTCTGATTAATAGTAAAGGGCCATGAGATCCGCATCCCATTGATAAACGGGGCGAGGTTGCCTTTTGAAATCTTCTTAAGTGAGTTTCTACTTCCGACCATAACAAGAGACAAACACAAAGTACTGGTAATTTGTTTTACTGTTGCAGTGTTCACTCACCTCCCTTTACCTGTGTTCTTTTTTGTTAACTGTGTAGTTTCCCACCGTGTCACTTTGGGAAGTTGTATGGCCTCATCTTCGCTCTCTCGGCGGTCTTCTCTTTACTGCAGTATGCCTGCTTTGCTGTGGTGGAAGAAGTGCTGGACGGAGATCCCTTATATGTGAGTGCATGACTCACAAAAAAACAAAAAAAAACGTCACATTAAGAGTCTCTTTTTTTTTTTAACATAACACAATTCTAGTAGAAAAATAATAATAAAAGAAGAAATGCCTGATTTTCATCAACACATTTTCAATAGCGGTGTGTTTACAAAGTATTATTACTTATGTGTCATAAAGTTATTTCAGGTCCCAAAGTTGTGTGCTTTACTTCTTTAACCAACAATTGTGTCTACCGTGTATGTCTGCGAGAATACTCATCTCTCCATGCTTGTGTCTGCAGGTGAACATCGCTCTGACCGTGCTTATCCTGTCCTCCTTCAGTCACCCTCTCTCCGTGTTTCTGCACTGCCGAGCGCTAGCATCCCAGCGAGCCAAAGTCAACACGATGGCTGACATGAACATAGTCACCTAAGTAGAGTTGGTGCTTTCACTTACATTGAAGGCACCCAATTGTGGATGAAGGCATGTCACATTTCCTACATCATGAAATATGTTCTTGTACAGAATCAGATTACGAATTAATAATGCAATTATTGTGTTGGACTAACTAATATTGATACTTTCAGTTTTTTTAAAGGGTTGGTCCACCTCCTCACTTAAAATCTGAATTATATAGGAATCATTTGCCATTGACCTCCATTTTTCTTACAGTAAAAATTGTAAATGGTAGAAATGTACTTTTTTTTCTGATGAAAGAAGAGGGTTAAAGCTTTCTTTTGGTAGCTTCCATGCTTATATAGCTACAGAACTTTTCTGTAGACCTTCAAAAATTTGTCAAATGGCCAAAAATGGCTGGCACCAGGTCTCCCAATTTGAGAAAAACGGCTGGAATTCAATGAGTTAAGAGGTAGTTAGGTAACTTGTACAGATTATTTCATAAATTGAAGTGTATTGAGACATACCTTGAACAAATATTTGGTTGCATCCCCGAATGTTAAGTTCACAATATATGTGAACACTGTATTTTGAGTACATCGAGGAGTATTTGTGTTACCTTTAGGCAGTACTTTGTTGATTTAAGAGAAGTTAGGTTCGGATAATTACTGGGGGTGTTTCAAGGATTAAACAGTAGTTATGTAAAATCTTTGAGGACATAAAGGAGTGTTCAATTAGTTCACATTGTGCAGGAGCAATAGGATCTACTAAACAAGTGTATTTTAACGTTGGTTCTTAGGGCGGGACTTGAGTATTTTCGCATTTTGAGTACCACTGGGTGGCATTGCAGTCTTGTGAAATACTGGATGTACAAATAAATGTTTCCACATTTAAAACATGCAGTTCAGTTTATTTTTATGTGTAGTAGATTCTGACTCATTATTTATCATGCTTATTTCCCCTAATTTCATATTTAAGAAAATGTCAATCACTTAAAAATAAATATTTTGAATACATTGAGGAGTGCATTGGTTAATACCAGGCTACTGCCTGTATTTTGGTGCTTTGCAAATATTTAGGTAACTGTTGGGCATAGTTAGGTCACTTTTATACAATACTGTACATCCATTCATCCATCCATCCTTTATCTGAACCGCTTTATCCTCACGAGGGGTCGACGGCATGCTGGAGCTTATCCCAGCTGTCTTCAGGCAGTAGGCGGGGTACTGTTGTGTCTGTTTGTGAGGCTGAAAAAAAGCAAGGTTGCTTCCACTGACTCTATATGAAAACGCTTTGCGTTTCCTGTACAGTAGGAGCTTTAATCCACCAATGAACCAAGAAAAAGAAGACGATGACAACGACGAGCATTTATAGACAGGTGTAAGAGTGTAAACCGCTTGGATTGGATTTACCCTCATTGCCACAATGTGGAGTTGTATTTTGAATAAGGTAGGCCATTTTCAACTTTAAAATAAAACACTTGGGTGTTTTAGGGGTTAAATCAGCTTCAGTTTGGTTCGGCTTGCAAAAATGACAGACTGACAGTGATGAATGGGTGCCCAGGACTCTCACGGATGACGAATTGAATGACACATTTTGCTTGTTAGACCACAGTACTCTTCCGAAAAAAAAATCATAATTGATATAATTTCAATAATTACAGTATTTAAGAAGGGTTTGATTGTTATTTTTTTATTTATTTTTTACAAGTTGTCCTAAATGCATCAATGACCCACCGCTTTAAAACAAAGCGTCTCCATCTAAAAAAAAACAGCTGCTAGCAGCTCCACTACATGTTTACAGTTTGTTTCTCTATCATATGCGCACTCGTGTGCGCGCACACACACACACACACACACACGCACACGCACACGCACATCCTTCAGTCACCCTCTCTCCGTGTTTCTGCACTGCCGAGCGCTAGCATCCCAGCGAGCCAAAGTCAACACGATGGCTGACATGAACATAGTCACCTAAGTAGAGTTGGTGCTTTCACTTACATTGAAGGCACCCAATTGTGGATGAAGGCATGTCACATTTCCTACATCATGAAATATGTTCTTGTACAGAATCAGATTACGAATTAATAATGCAATTATTGTGTTGGACTAACTAATATTGATACTTTCAGTTTTTTTAAAGGGTTGGTCCACCTCCTCACTTAAAATCAGAATTATATAGGAATCATTTGCCATTGACCTCCATTTTTCTTACAGTAAAAATTGTAAATGGTAGAAATGTACTTTTTTTTCTGATGAAAGAAGAGGGTTAAAGCTTTCTTTTGGTAGCTTCCATGCTTATATAGCTACAGAACTTTTCTGTAGACCTTCAAAAATTTGTCAAATGGCCAAAAATGGCTGGCACCAGGTCTTCCAATTTGAGAAAAACGGCGGGAATTCAATGAATTAAGAGGTAGTTAGGTAACGTTTACGGATTATTTCGTAGATTGAAGAGTATTGAGACATACCTTGAACAAATATTTGGCTACATCCACGAATGTTACGTTCACAGTATACATGAACACTTGGACTGTATTTTGAGTACATCGAGGAGTATTTGTGTTACCTTTAGGCAGTACTTTGTTGATTTAAGAGAAGTTAGGTTCGGATAATTACTGGGGGTGTTTCAAGGATTAAACAGTAGTTATGTAAAATCTTTGAGGACATAAAGGAGTGTTCAATTAGTTCACATTGTGCAGGAGCAATAGGATCTACTAAACAAGTGTATTTTAACGTTGGTTCTTAGGGCGGGACTTGAGTATTTTCGCATTTTGAGTACCACTGGGTGGCATTGCAGTCTTGTGAAATACTGGATGTACAAATAAATGTTTCCACATTTAAAACATGCAGTTCAGTTTATTTTTATGTGTAGTAGATTCTGACTCATTATTTATCATGCTTATTTCCCCTAATTTCATATTTAAGAAAATGTCAATCACTTAAAAATAAATATTTTGAATACATTGAGGAGTGCATTGGTTAATACCAGGCTACTGCCTGTATTTTGGTGCTTTGCAAATATTTAGGTAACTGTTGGGCATAGTTAGGTCACTTTTATACAATACTGTACATCCATTCATCCATCCATCCTTTATCTGAACCGCTTTATCCTCACGAGGGGTCGACGGCATGCTGGAGCTTATCCCAGCTGTCTTCAGGCAGTAGGCGGGGTACTGTTGTGTCTGTTTGTGAGGCTGAAAAAAAGCAAGGTTGCATCCAGTGACTCTATATGGAAACGCTTTGCGTTTCCTGTACAGTAGGAGCTTTAATCCACCAATGAACCAAGAAAAAGAAGACGATGACAACGACGAGCATTTATAGACAGGTGTAAGAGTGTAAACCGCTTGGATTGGATTTACCCTCATTGCCACAATGTGGAGTTGTATTTTGAATAAGGTAGGCCATTTTCAACTTTAAAATAAAACACTTGGGTGTTTTAGGGGTTAAATCAGCTTCAGTTTGGTTCGGCTTGCAAAAATGACAGACTGACAGTGATGAATGGGTGCCCAGGACTCTCACGGATGACGAATTGAATGACACATTTTGCTTGTTAGACCACAGTACTCTTCCGAAAAAAAAATCATAATTGATATAATTTCAATAATTACAGTATTTAAGAAGGGTTTGATTGTTATTTTTTTATTTATTTTTTACAAGTTGTCCTAAATGCATCAATGACCCACCGCTTTAAAACAAAGCGTCTCCATCTAAAAAAAAACAGCTGCTAGCAGCTCCACTACATGTTTACAGTTTGTTTCTCTATCATATGCGCACTCGTGTGCGCGCACACACACACACACACACACACGCACACGCACACGCACACGCACACATCAACACATGCACTGACTCTCTTGAGGGAGATACACACACATTTCCTCACCTATCTGGTTTAGCAACAAAGACACACGCACACTTGCTTAAATCGAGTAGACTCATTTTCTGAGGAAATGAAATGAGACAAATACTGTCCATTCTTACTCCAGCAAGACTCTGTTGCACTGTGCTACAGTAAGTAATCCAATTCTATACTCTTCCATAGTCCATACCACTCAGGTTGTATGTATGGGGGGTGTCTTGTACTAAACCCACTTGTTTGTGCAGAAAAATGACCGTTCAAGGATGGCATAAAACTGATTTACAGTGCAAGCAGCCACATGCAGCTCGCAGGCCACCAGTTGCCTAATTTAAAGTCTGTGTTACTCATTTAATTGTAGTCTTTTTTTTTTTTTTAATGAAGCAACGAACAGTGAATGTCATCTTAATCACGTCAAAACAGCCGTGCATGGCATCGTTGTGGAAATTACGCCTCCGCATCCTTGATCCAAATCCAAAAGTGACTTCATTTCTGATTGACATCGTGAAAGATGCAAAAAGTCATTTTATTTTACTCCCCCAAAAATACACATATTTATATCTTTCCTGTGTGTGTGTTTTTTTATTGAATTGTAGCATCTCTTTATTATTGAATCGTAGCATCTCTTTATTTAAAGACAATGCTCAATTCTTGTCCGTGTAATTATGTCAAAATAGCCCTGTATGAATGTTGTCGCAAGTCGGAAGTTCCACTTTACATCTGTACATTCAGCCACTTCCAGATTGGGTCAAGTCCATGCAGTCCTGTCAAAATAGCTGTCATCACGAGGCGGAACTTTTGCTAAATGTGGACGAAACAGTTAGAATGGCTCCTAAGAAAAGGGACTTTGCTCAAGGGAGTGGTAGGAAGCGCTTGTCATAGATGAGTGGAAAGATCTGTACTGTGCTTCTTCGCGCATTGTGTAATCAGGCTCTGTGCATCACACAAGGCAAGGCAGGCTATTGGTGTTCTGTTTTCTACCGTTGTTCCCGGTAGGTAGCAATGATGATGCAGGTATTACAACAGCAACGTTTAATAGACTGTGGAGTGGAGCAGTATAACGTTGAGCTCACATCTAACATTGCACAACACACAGACTTATTCGCGATGACGTCAAGCGTGACTATGTGAATCTGTACAGACCAAAATACATTACATCTCCTCCCCCACTTACATTTGAAGGATTTTTTTTAATAACAGTTACAACTCAGAACAATCCTTGAGTACACTTCTGATCTACAAATTCAAACGATTAGGTGTTTTCCCTGCCCGAGTAGGATAGCGACGTTCAAGAGCTACAGCAGACTTTCCTACCTTTGGATTAGGTTCTGGTACTCGTGCCCTCTCTTCAACAGATTTATCAGAACTCGGAACAACAGGCGGGCTGACTGAATTTGCCACTGGTGAGGATATATGATAGGGTTCAGATAAGCATTGATCAACATCTTTGTCACATTCGATAGTCACAGACAATTCAGGAGTGGTTGGAGACGCTCTCAAAAGTTGGTGCACATGGCGTGCACAGTTCCTTGTCCTTGTGATGTTTTAAATGTGTTTTTCAATGTTTGCACAAACCTCTCTGCTAACCTGTTAGTTGTGCTCCATTGGTTTGTGGGAAAATCCATTATCTGAAATAAGTTGGACAAGAGCACAAAATTTCCGAACGATTTCTCCAAGTTCCTCAACTGTCTTTTCAGAGGTTATGGATTTCATGATAGCCACCTTGGGCCACTTGCAGTGTGCATCAACAGCAACCAGACACATTTTGTCTTCAAATGGACCCGCAAAATCAATATGAATTTGACATCAAGGGTCCTGAGAAAAATCCCATGGATAAAGTGGCGCGGCTGGGGGATTGTTACGAGTTTTATGACAGGATGAACAACTCCTGGCCATATGTTCGACTTCTTTGTTTTGCCCTGGCCACCAACATTAACTACGTGTACTTGATATCGCTTTCATTTTCACTATTCCACTCTGTCATGCATGAAGCTACTCTAGCATTTTAGTACACAGTGAGTAGCAACAACTGAATAGCTTGAAAAAAATGAAGGTTTGGTTGTGGCCTACCGTCAATCTCCAGACTTGAATCTGATTGACATGCTGTGGCGTAACCTGAAAGGAACTCGGGTATGGCTCAGCATTGGCACTTGTGTAATAGTTCAATGTACTTAAAATTGATGTCAGCAGTAAAAATATCCCTGCAGAATGATTCAGTAGTTATATTTGTCTTGTTTCGTCATGATATTCAACAGGCTTCAAAATGCCGGCTTTCGAGGGAAAGCAGGCGATGTCGACAAAGGGGCAAGGCAAGCCTCATGCTATTGTTGATTTATTTTGCCGGCTGTCATTTTCTCATGAAACTCAAAGATTTAAGCAAAACAAATCAAACAAGTAAAGGAGTGTCATTTGCAGTGATCATTTAAATGATTCTGCTCTGGACGAGTTTAAATGGGAGTTTGAAATGAAATGACTTACTTGAAGAAGAATGCATGGCGGCCTTGCTCGGAAGCCGGAGTGCGGTGCTGCCGTGCAGCTCCTTGGGCTCGGCTATCATTGACCCCCTCCTCCATCATCGTCTCGGTCCCAGGACAGTGGATCTATTTGCCGTCACACTTTGTGGCAGTCCAGAGACAGTGAACTTCCAGCCGCTACCCCTGCCGGGACTTGCGCTACGAACACCGAGCTAAACATTAAAGTGTGGGGAAACTACCGTATGCAAATAAATAAATATTAAACTCAGAATCGAAGAGGAGGGAAAATAGTTTTTCACAGTGCTGTATGTGTGTCTATCTGATATCAGCGTGAACTTGTTTGGGTCTTGAGAATGCCTGTTGACAAAAAGCAATTGGACATGACATTTTGGACATCTCGGCTTTGAATATTTTTTTCCCCTTCACCATTTAAAGCAGAATTTTATGTTCACTTGGTTGATCCTTGTCTGATGTTGACATTTGTTTGATGTGCTTAGACGTGAAAATGGAAAATGAAAAAAAAAAAATTGGGAAATGAGGGCAACTACTTTTTCACGGCACTGCATGTCGGTGGATCTGATAATATCTTGAACTGTTTTAGATCTTCAGAATGCCACTTGACAAAAAAAACAACAGCACATGACGTTCCGCAGCCATGGTGATGAGCAATGGGGTGTTGCCCTTTATAAGGAAGAGTGTGTGAGCCAATGACATAGTGATAAGATTTGGAAGACCAGCTGGGGAGCTCCGCTGAGGAACTGCAAGGTCGGTCTCACTTTCTTTTGAGTTGGTGTGGCAACCAAACCCTAAGATACTGTTCATTATTCTTTGCAGGCATTGCGTATTTTGGGTCAATTTTGATCAGGGCCAAGATATCTTCATGATGTTTGTCAATAGCAAATTATGCACTTCGACTTCAAAATGTTTGAATGGTCTGTCTGATGTTAAAAAATGGACGATTAAGCCTGAATCGGTGTTTCGGGGGGGAAAGGCATCTTCTGACCACTGTATGAATTCTCTTCCTTATGTTTGGTTGATCTGATCATTCTTTTGCTTTTGTGCTCTTTCATATTTTCAAAATTCCCTCTGGACACCCTTCTGCAAGATTGTGCAGGAGGGCCGTGTGCAAATGTGGTAAAAAAAAAACAGACAGTTCTCGGGATTGTTTCCAGCCCCTCCTTGAAAACTTCAAGGTTCAAGGTTCAAGGTTCAACTTTATTGTCAAATATGCATACATTGACATGTAGCATGGATGAAATTTATTTCTCTCAATCCTCAGCAAACAGTGAAAGACAATGTAGTCTAAAACAGTATAAACATATAGACGATATATACAATAAAAGACGATATATACAATAAAAGCAGCATAAAACAATGGCACTTGAGGCTATTGAGGATAAAAGTGACGTAGTGCATTGTGCAATGTGCAATATGCAGATGACGGATAATGAGGGGAGGGTCATAGTCTGTGACAGGAGGCAGGGGTCGGGCAGAGGCAGAGGGTGGGGAGTTTGGGCAGAGCACGGAGGGAGTTGAGTCTCCTGACCGCCTGGTGGAAGAAACTGTCTTTGAGCCTGCTGGTTCTGGCACGGAGACTTTGCAATCTCCTTCCCGACGGCAGCAGGCTGAAGAGGCTGTGGGATGGGTGTGTGGGGTCGCCTGCGATCCGGATGGCATGGCGGGTCAGCCGGGAGTAGTAAATGTCCACGAGTGGGGGCAGAGAGACACCAATGATCTTCTCAGCTGTTCTCACGGTGCGCTGCAAGGTCTTTTGGCAGGACACAGTGCAAGCACCATACCACACAGTGATACAGCTGGACAGGATGCTCTCAATGGTGCCTGTATAAAATGTCTGCATGATGGGGGGCGGGGCTCTTGCTCTCCTCAGTTTGCGGAGGAAGTACAGGCGCTGGTTGGCTTTTTTGGCCAGTGATGCGGTATTGTGGCTCCAGGACAGGTCTTCAGAGATGTGCACTCCCAGGAACTTGGTGTTGCTCACTCTCTCCACTGTGGCACCGTTAATGGCCAGTGGAGCATGCTGGGAGTGCGTCTTTCTGAAGTCCACAACAATCTCCTTTGTCTTCTCCACATTCAGGTGGAGATTGTTGTCCTTACACCACAAGGCTAGCCTGCTCACCTCACTCCTGTAGCTTGTCTCATCGTCGTTGTTGATGAGACCCACTACAGTCGTGTCATCCGCAAACTTAACGGGAGGTGTTGAGCCCCAGGTGGTCCAGTTTGTGGATGAGATGCTGCGGAATGATGGTGTTGAATGCTGAGCTGAAGTCGATGAACAGCATTCTGACATGTGAATTCTTGGTCTCCAGGTGGGTGAGGGCTGAGTGAAGGGCGGTGGAGATGGCGTCTGCAGTTGATCTGTTCTGCCGATATGCAAACTGGTAGGGGTCCAGGGAGGGGGGGAGGGCAGACTTTATGTGCTGCATGACTAACCGCTCGAAGCACTTCATGAGAATGGGGGTGAGTGCGACCGGGCGGTAGTCATTGTAGCTGGAGGGTGACGACTTCTTCGGGACCGGGATGATGGTGGTGGCCTTGAGACAAGTGGGGACAACAGCCTGGCTCAGTGAGGTGTTAAAGATGTCTGTGAAAACATCTGTGAGCTCCTCAGCACAGTCTCTCAGGACGCGACCAGGAATGTTGTCAGGACCTGCTGCTTTCCGGGCGTTTGTTCTCCTGAGGGAATGCCTCACACTATCCTGGGAAAGTGTCAGCACCTGGTCACCAGGAGGGGGTGGGGTCTTCTGTGCTGGGGTGTTGTTGTCTGTCTCAAAACGGGTGAAGAAGTTGTTCAGGTTGTTCAGCAGCGAGATGGCGCTGTCGCAGGTGTGCGGAGAGGGCTTGTTTTACTCTCGTCTCGTTGTATATCATACACACCTTGATGGAGCACCCATATTTCGTAGTTCAAAATGTACATAAGCACATTTTCCTTGATGAATCACAAATTGTAAAATGTAAAATCGATTTGAAGAGATGAACTTCAGCCTCGTACACAAACTTTCTAACACGTACAAAAAAACCAACTGCTTAAAATATTTTCAGTTTCATGTAAAAGTCATCACATTTCATGAGATTTAGGTTATTTTCACTGCTATCAAACTGCAAATTCAGCCCTCGGGCACATCGTTCTTATTTCGCATCACCGCCTCCTCACCAGGTGTGTGCGCAAGAAGCTTGGACGATGTTGCCATCTTCGAAGCACTTCAAAGTGCGACAAGTCTTCACCTTCATCACGGGCATGTTGGAGTGTCTGTTCTTCGCAGGAATTATATTCGGCTGGGCCTCACTTGTGTTCCTCCTGAAGTCGCGAGGTTTCTTTGGCTCCTTTTGTGTCAACACCACAAACAGTGATGGAGCACGGGTCCAAGGTCAGTTTGCCGTTCTCCTCTCGGATTTTATGTCCTCTGATAATTTTCAAAAATTGATTTTTATTGGAGAATTGAAGAAGGATGGATGGATGGATGGAATAGTCCACATTTGTGCAAGAGTTATTTTCAACGTCAATTCCTCAGCATGAGAAGCAATCACAACCATTGAGTCATTGCTGCTCCAAAAAAAAAAAAAAGGTTTGTACATTATGCTATGCAAGATTTATTGATTTATTTTCGGTTCTTTGTTTTTATGTCAGATTGCAGGGGCCAGGATGAACAGTTCTCGCTTGTCTTCACCATTGCATCCTTCATGAATAATTTCCTGACATTTCTAAATGGTGTCATCTTTGATCGTTTTGGCACTTTGGTGGCTCGGCTCTATGGATTGTGAGTGCTGAAATATAATCTTTAAATAACACCACACATGTTTCACCTACATTTTATAAAGCAGTAAAACATGAGAGGTTTTTTTTTTTTTTTTTTTGGATGAAGTGCAATTTTTTTTGTCCAAACTTTTAACCTGTCTGTCTACATCATGACCCGGTCAGTGACGATATCAACTTTTTGTTGCATCAGAGCTCTTCACACCTTGGGTATCTTGATGTTGACCTTTGCAACTCCAGGTAAATATCTTTCTGATAGTAAATATTTTTCTTTTGCCAAGGTAAATATCTTTCTGATCGTAAATATTTTTCTTTTGCCAATACCAGGGCTCACCAACCTTTTTGAAACCAAGAGTTACTTCTTGGGTACTGAACGCAACTATATTTACAGAGCTCATTAAAACAACACCACTATTTGAAAAGTGCTATGCACGGAGCAAAAATAAATAAGTGTTTTTTTTTTTTTTTGTCAGCATTCTAAACGTTTTTATTTCATGCAGTAATAAAAGTGTTGTGTTCTCTGTAACGACTTACTGATTTCATGAATGCAACACACTAGTTTCTTCTACATGAGTAAAACAACAACAACAATGTATGCAGCGTTCTTCTCAATGTAGAAGCATTTTGTGGCTCCCGGATATATATATATATATTTTTTAATGTATCTATCTATTTATTTATTTATTAATACCTGTGGAAAATACCAACCCCTCCCTTAGGGGCCACCTGGTGGTGACCCCTTGTTTACATGTTGTATACATATAAAAATAGAAATCTTATCAAATCATGTATGTGAGGATGCTCTTTGTCCTGATCTTTGTGTCTCTCCATCAGCTCTGTCCATGGTGCTTTATCCAGCACTCTCGTTCATAGCTGTTGGTGGCATGATGCTGCTCCTGAGCAACATGCAGGTAATTTTTTTGGGACGTATAATATCATCCTGTCTCAATCCCATTTGCAAATTGGAAGAAAAGCATGTTCATTCCCAGAGAAAACTGAGCCCATCCTTTCCCAATCCTGAGTCCAAATTTCCTACCCGCCCCTTCTTTCCTTTTATTTATTTATTTTTCCACACAGCCAAGCCTGCTCTGTTTTTCTCCCACAGTATGAAAAATGCAGATTATGGCTCACACCATGTCTGCGGTAGACAGTATATAATCTGATTGACCAGAATGAGCAGGAATTTGCACTCTTCTGTGGGACACAAATGCATTGAAATGTGTTTGTTTCTTTGTCAGACATTGAAATTGTGTGAAGTTCATTGTTCATCAGTCATCGTCATTTTGTTGCCGACTGTCGATGCAAAGTTTCTCTCTGTGCTGAAGGGAAATGACAGTGACATTTGGCAGAGAGGAGTATCTTAATTTGATTACCTTTCAGCGCACAATCCAGCCCGTTTCATGACATTGTTATCAGAGAGAGATGATTTAAGTCCCCAACAAGCAGTATAAGTGCGCTGCGATGCTTGAATTGGAATCCTGCGATCAAAACAGCACAACATCATTTGCTGCCAGAGCTCAGCTTTGAATGTAAAGAAACAACTGCAGTTTTTTAAAATGCCAGGAGTTTGTCAGTAGGCAGAAGAAACAGTTTAAATGCTCATACTTTGCCCATCGCGATCATGGGTCACACGTTGGAATTCGGAGCACTTCAAATTGCTTGTTGTGCATGAAAGGCGCTTTTGTGTTCATGCATTTGTGACTTTGGTGAAGGCTGCTTGAAATGTGAAACTCACCCAATTGAATTTCTCCTCCTGAAGGTGGCAAATCTGTTTGGCGCTCATCGTTCGACCATCATCACCATCTACAACGGGGCCTTCGACTCTTCCTCGGGTGTCTTTGTCCTCGTTAAAGTGCGTCAATAAGTGGCAGACAAGGCTGTTGGCAATTGTCAAATTGGTCATGATCTTCACTTTATACCTAAAGTTGGCATACGAGTCTGGCATCCCTCTCAAGGCCAGTTTCCTGTTCTTGGCCACCGGCAGCATCTATCACATACTCAGGACGATCTTCCTGTTTCCCAGAACCTCAATCCCGTACCCGCCGCCTGACCACTACAAGTATGGGTAAGAATGCGAAACACTACTTATCATAGTGGGCATGAAAGACAATGGTGGGAGTCAAAAGACAACCAGGTCCCAAGTAGAAATATCAAAAGTTATTGTATTATGAGAAATTGACTTTTCTATCTCCTCTATACAAATACTGGGATGCAGGGGCGTAACATCAAGATGATCGGCTCCGGTGCAAAAAAAAAAAAAAAAAGCCCAATAACAAGCATAGCCAGTCCCTTGGGTCAAATTCATCCTCTGAGGCTGCGGTGGCGCTCAGGTCTCCTCCCCAACCATCCACTCGGCGTGACTGACCCGCCCAGAGCTATTGTAATTACAAAATCAAGGGTCTGTGGACGTTTTGGACAGCTGTTTTTCCCCCCTTCCTTCATGGGCATGTTACCCCATCCAGGGCCCCGTGCAGCGGCACCGGTTTTGCCTGTGCTTATGTTCCCCCGAGTGCTTGCCCACTGATTAACTGCGCACTCAATGAATTCTTTGATTAGCTGTCTATTTCCAAAAATGGGTTCATGAAGGATTGCTTCAATTGCTGATTGTGTCTACTGCATGCATCACATAGACAAAATGCTCACACTACTCGACACGTGCAAAACTCCATTATTTGACGACGCGCTATGAGAAATGGGGACTGCAAATTAAGTCACTCTTAACTGTAAATAGTCATGAGTTGTAGGCCCACTGTTTTCTCTGATGGTCGTCTCTGACTTCAGGATATCCTGCAGAAGATTAAGGAAGTCCAATAAAACTGTACAGAGCGACTTTCAGATGCCAGTGGAGGAGAAGCCACATGACGTGGAAGAGCCTGAAAGACCTGGTGTGTGCAATTATGAATTATTAAAACAGCGTCTTCAAAGAAATCATGTCTTTATATATCAGATGCCTTGTTTTCCCTCAGAGAAAACCTTCCGTGAATGTGTTCTGTCCAAATTCTTCTTCTTTGTCGTCCTCTGGTTGTCCGTGATCCAACTGAGACATTATCTGTTCATCGGCACCCTCAACCCCATGCTGGAGCGTCTGGCTGATGGCGATGCATCAGTTGGTATGAACTCACACATGAATGCACATACATAACCAAAAGCCAAGTTTTATATATTTAAAATTTTGATCTAGCTATTTAAAATCTACACAATTCACCTATTTTCTATGTTTGGTCAAATGACATCTCCAACCCGAGGGCACTTTGCCAGCAATTTCAGTTGACAGCAGAGGGTGTTGTAATGTTGAAATGGCACCCCCTTCACGTGGATTAAAAACGCTGAATTAATCTGATGAATTGTTATACCGCCGACGCGATATTAATCTTAATGTTGTGTTTCAACTCATGGAGAGGGACATTGAACATATTCTTGCATAGGCCATTTTTGATGTGAGTTCCCCTTTAAGTATTGTGGTTAAATTAGCACCAAATCATTTTATCCATCCATTTTCTGATCCAGTTTATCCTCACAAGGGTCAAGGGGGGTGCTGGAGCCTATGCCAGCTGCCGTCGGGCAGTAGGCGGGGGGCACCCTGAACCGGTTGCCAGCCAATCACAGGGCACACAAAGACAAACAACCATCCATGCTCACACTCACACCTCAAGACAATTTTGAGTGTTCAATCAGCCTGCCATGCGTGTTTTTGGAATGTGGGAGGAAGCCGGAGTACCCGGAGAAAACCCACGCAGGCACGGGGAGAACATGCAAACTCCACACAGGAAGGCCGGAGCTGGAATTGAACCCGGCACCTCTGCACTGTGAGGTCAAAGCGCTAACCACTGCATCGCCGGGCCGCTCCAAATCATTTTAGGGAATGTATAAACATTTCTACCCATCTGTTTTGAGTCGCTCAACTATACGAGAGCCGAGAGGCTGAGGAGGAGAAGAAGAAGGGAAAGCTTTTTTGTTTGTTTTTTTAAATGCTTGTAATGATGAATGCAGGGTGATGGGCTGCAGCTAAAAGGCCCTCTTTGCATCCAGGCAAAAGGACAAGTGTTTGAGCACCACCTAGCGCCTATTTGTTGCAGTGCCTTCACACACACAACCCCAGAGGAGCACACACAGGGTAGATAGAATAGCATTTGTATAATCTTGGTTACAACATTATATGACCGTCTTCGGTGTTTTCGTTTCTAATAGAAATGCGGCACGGTAAATCTTTGACAGTAGGCCTCACCTTTGCTTTTTTGTGTGTTGGCAGTGAGCCAGTACATCAACGCCTTTGCATTCACTCAGATGTGTGGGTTGCTGGTGGCTCCCATGAACGGCTTCATTCTCGACCGACACAAGCGAAAACCTCCGGTGGCAGGTATAACGCGTGCAAAAATCACCAAAATGGGAGCCCGTTGGCCTCTGTTCCGAGGTGCGCAGTTACTGCTGTCGTTGACCTCCTGGAACTTTAGGAATTGAATTATTGTTTATTTTACTTTAGGTGTTCATTTTTTAACTTGAGTTATATTGTAGGTTGTCCTGCCAAGTTGCGAGTAAGTGACTGTTTTACGTCATATAAATTCAATATTGGATTACTGAGTTTTGAAATGTATGACATGGCCTGTCACTGATGCATATTTTACATTTATATTTCTACTGTACTGCAATGATTTAGCACTAGCTCTACACCTCAAGACAATTTTGAGTGTTCAATCAGCCTGCCATGCGTGTTTTTGGAATGTGGGAGGAAGCCGGAGTACCCGGAGAAAACCCACGCAGGCACGGGGAGAACATGCAAACTCCACACAGGAAGGCCGGAGCTGGAATTGAACCCGGCACCTCTGCACTGTGAGGTCAAAGCGCTAACCACTGCATCGCCGGGCCGCTCCAAATCATTTTAGGGAATGTATAAACATTTCTACCCATCTGTTTTGAGTCGCTCAACTATACGAGAGCCGAGAGGCTGAGGAGGAGAAGAAGAAGGGAAAGCTTTTTTGTTTGTTTTTTTAAATGCTTGTAATGATGAATGCAGGGTGATGGGCTGCAGCTAAAAGGCCCTCTTTGCATCCAGGCAAAAGGACAAGTGTTTGAGCACCACCTAGCGCCTATTTGTTGCAGTGCCTTCACACACACAACCCCAGAGGAGCACACACAGGGTAGATAGAATAGCATTTGTATAATCTTGGTTACAACATTATATGACCGTCTTCGGTGTTTTCGTTTCTAATAGAAATGCGGCACGGTAAATCTTTGACAGTAGGCCTCACCTTTGCTTTTTTGTGTGTTGGCAGTGAGCCAGTACATCAACGCCTTTGCATTCACTCAGATGTGTGGGTTGCTGGTGGCTCCCATGAACGGCTTCATTCTCGACCGACACAAGCGAAAACCTCCGGTGGCAGGTATAACGCGTGCAAAAATCACCAAAATGGGAGCCCGTTGGCCTCTGTTCCGAGGTGCGCAGTTACTGCTGTCGTTGACCTCCTGGAACTTTAGGAATTGAATTATTGTTTATTTTACTTTAGGTGTTCATTTTTTAACTTGAGTTATATTGTAGGTTGTCCTGCCAAGTTGCGAGTAAGTGACTGTTTTTCGTCATATAAATTCAATATTGGATTACTGAGTTTTGAAATGTATGACATGGCCTGTCACTGATGCATATTTTACATTTATATTTCTACTGTACTGCAATGATTTAGCACTAGCTCTCAAGTCTATATGCATCATATTAGCTCCAAGCTTGTAACAATGTTTGACTGCATTGTCCCTGTCAAAGAAAGCTGTAAATACTGTCAATCAGGGGCGTCACTAGGTTTCAAGAACAAGGGGGGCTTAGCCCCAAGGGGAACACAGCCCCTTTAGGGGGTTCCGGGGGGCATGCCCCCCTGGGAGAATTTTTTTCTACATTCTGATAAAAATCCATCAATTCCGTGCACTTTGAGAGCAAAATGAAGAGGCTATGAAGAACTACACACATCACATTCGTATACTCTTTACTATGATGGGGCTTCCTCCCCTGGACTTTAACTGGACTAGATAATAGAAATTATAAAGAGTTCAAAAGTTCAATCTTGGTTGTTCAAGGGAATTAGAAGGATGCCCGATAACATAACCTATATGACAGTAGGCCTATATTCCTCTCTACCAAAATGTATTAATATATGCTTAGCCCCCAGAAGACTATGTATTTTGAGATGTCTGCCGTGATATGCAATTTAAGTTAGTACAATGAGATGCAAAAGCTTCATCACTTTGGAAAAACACAAGTTTGCTGCTTAATACTTACTGTAAGCTCCGATTGCATTTTGGGAACAGCCTTGCAAGTAAAATTAGCCTTGAGATCTGATAGACTCACCTGTCCAGCAGAGCTCCCCCCAGCTCACTCTCTGTGCGTCTTTAGCCTGATTCCTATCAAATAAATAAATTTATTTGTTTTATATTTATTTATTTATTTTATATAGGCCAAAATCTCAATAGGTGTTGCCTCAAAGAGTTGGTGTAATGATTATTTATGTATTTAATAATAAAATGTTGCTTAATTTTTATTAAGCACCACCTTAATTTATCCAAAAGTGAACACTTGTTACAGTGCAGTTTCTGCTGTTACTGGAGATATTTTAGCGGACTATAGTCACTAGTTTTACCAGCATGGATGCATTGAATACTTAATTTACCTTTCTAAAAAACTGTCGAATATCCATGCTGTCGACTCAACCTAACTTTCGGCAATGAACTGTCAGTTGTTGCGTTAGCATTTGATGTGGCGATGGTGACAGACACGTCAAATGCTAACGCACCACCTGTTGCGTTCAGGAAACCTGGGAGATTTAACATTTCAATAATGGCAGGTTATCGAAATATAATTTAAAATGGCCACATTACATTAAATTTGATGCAATATATTAGCAAAAGTACAGGAAAAATAAATAATACTTTTTTTTAAATAATGCAATGAAATTATTTAGGGGGGCTAAAGATTATTTTAGGGAGGCTAAAGCCTCCCTAAAATAGGCCTAATGACGCCCATGCTGTCAATAAAAGAATGAAAGAACATGAGTTAAAGGAGCCAGAATACATCAAATGCATCCATTGGTTTTCTCTAGTTTGAGTGATCAGACATGTTCTCCTCTGTGTGTGTTCATGTTCATAGGAATGAGTGAACGAGAAGCAGACCTGAATTCTGCAGTTCTCTCTTTCTTCCTGACGTCACTGGTGTCATTGATCTTCTCAATTTGCGCTTCCATTCCCGTGTTGCCACTCCAGTACTTCACTTTCATTGCGTTAATGGTCAATTACAGTTTTGTCTACGGCGGAATGGCTGCTTTCGTCGCAATGACGTGAGTAAACGATTCCCGAAAGCTACAATAAACTTAGCATTTCCGTTTGAACATTGTGAGGGATGGAAGGCAAAGAGTTTCTGTGACCTGATGGGCTACGCAGAAGGCTTGATTTGGTAGATTTTCAAAAAGAGTAATAAGAGTTGTCTCTTATTACTCTTTTTGAAAATGTCATTGTTCACTGATTAAAAGAGAGTACAAATAAGCAGAGATTTTGGGGACAGAGGACGAGAAGTTTTCCAAAAAGGACTGATGAAAAGTGGATTTTCATCCGTCCCTTTAATTGTCCCCAACCAGGTCAAGTACCTACACAAACCCATTTCACTAACAACTAACAGAAACGTGCCAATGCACTACTTCAATTGGTACAAATCTTTTTTATTTCACCCTCTCAACAGTAAATATTCACCAACCTCTGTATTTAGGACATTAGCAAAAATCAATTCTCAGTTTTTTGTCGATTCACTGACAGATGTTCCGGACCAAACAGGTAACTGAATCAAAGTTGTCTGCGCATTTTCTGCACTTTCAATGACAAATTATGTCCTGTTTTGAAAAAAAAGGCATAGCAAAAAAAATAAAAAAAATAAAAAATATATATCGATATATATATATATTTTTTTTTAATCCAATTCATCAATGAATCGATCAAGAATCAAGCAATTATTCAGTTTGTAAAATGATTCTTTTTTTGCAGCCATAGCAATGTCAAATACATGGTATCTTTGTTCAGTCCAAATGTCTCCATTTAATCATATTGTCTTATTTCAGATTCAGAAACATAACAATGTTCACTCTCCAAATACAGTATAACAACTGACAAAAGCAACTCCTATAATAGTTTTCATGCACCTCCCTTTTGTCTGTGTTCCTTTCCTGTGTGTGTGTGTGTGTGTGTGTGTGTGTGTGTGTGTGTGTGTGTGTGTGTGTGTGTGTGTGTGTGTGTGTGTGTGTGGGTGCGTGTAGTTTCCCACCATGTCACTTTGGGAAGTTGTATGGCTTCATCTTCGGTCTCTCGGCGGTCTTCTCTTTACTGCAGTATGCCTGCTTTGCTGTGGTGGAAGAATTGCTGGACGGAGATCCCTTATATGTGAGTGCATGACAGTACAGGGTGCAATGAAATCAAGACTACCGCATCTTAAGCCAGTTACAGAAACACTGGATTGCATTTCAGCAAAATATCATTTTTTAAAAATGACAATCATCTCTTCATTCATATGTCTGCAGATGAACATCGGGCTGACCATCCTCATCCTGTTCTCCTTTAGTCATCCCCTGAATGTTTTTCTGCACTGTCGAGCACTCGCATCCCAGAGGGCCAAAGCCAACAAGATCACTGACATGACCACAGAATCGCAGCTGCTTAAAGAGCCCCTGTGATGGCCTTAACATGGAAACTTATTTTATAGTTCTGGACTGAAAAATGATGTCTACAGTAAAGAATTTCCCCCCAAAGAGACTCCGTCACCCACTTTTAAGTTGAAAATGATGTCAGCCGATTGCTATTCAACATTTAAAAAAGTTCAATTTCAACAAACTTTGGTAACATTTTAAGATGGGCATTTCAACTAACTATTTTAAGCTTTGCTGTTGTGAAAACTGACGTTCCGCATTTTCATAAAGAAATAGAAGTTGGCAGAACTCTTCTCATTTGTGTTGTCCACCCACCCAAGTTAAAGATTCACGGGTGAGTTAAAAATCAAAACAAAAAAAAAACCCCAGCAAATAGTTTTGGAACAAACAAGTTGCTTGCTTTGTTGTGCTAACTAACTAAATTCCAATCGTTTGTATTTTAATGATGTTCCACCTTAAATTTCTGTTTTAGCCGCTAAACATACAAGTTGTGTTTTTTTGTACTGATGCTCAACAAAAACAGACCTGTTGCAAAAGAAAACGAAGGGAGGCTGCTCATTTCCTCTTCGAGTGAGCGCATTGATTGGCATATGTCATTGTGATGATTTTAGAGGTTGACGTGGGCAAAATTGGATAAGTGCATGTAAATTTTGGTGACAAGTGATCACAGATTTTGGTCATTATAAACGACGTAAGTTAAGCATATTGTAATGCGTTCATGGCCTCCACTGAGGCTGACGTCAAACCAAGACATGCTGGCGTATCAAATTTGCTTATGAAACGGGCTTTCGTCATTTCTTCTGTGCGCCCCATTGCCATACATTAACACCAACATAAATATATTTACAATTAACATCAAAGGCTCATGTATGATATTTGATGAAGACAAACGTGAAAGACATTTTCATTCAAATTATACATAGTTGCCAGTAGTTTCTCTTGGCTATCATTCTTTTAAAGGCACATACTCTCGTGTTTATTCGTTTCATGAAATGAAATGTTTTTAGGGCGGCCCGGTGGTCGATTGGTTTGCACGTCGGTGTTATTGTGCCTGTTTATCTCCCTAGGCAGCGAACCGTAGCATCGTGCATAGCAGACGCGCACCAGTTGCACAGCTGACTCCATTATTGAGGTGAAAATGTACCTGGTAGAACCTTTACCCAAACGGGTTTCAACTTGCATCCCCGCTTCATCTGTTCCATGTGTAAGGGTTTTTTTTTTCAAAGGCGTGGGAGATTCTCTCTCTCTCTCTCTCTCTCTCTCTCAAAAAAAGCCACAGAGCCCCAAAAACAGTTGAAAATTTTTATTTTTAAATTAAAATGATTACGATAACTTTTTGTGCGGGTATATTTTTTATCCACAATACAGGCGCAATTACTGCATTTTCCTCCCCCCTTTCCATATGAATTTCATGTCATAATGAGTGTAATCTTAATCAACATTTTTCACAGGAAAAGCTTTTCCTTGCATGCCGTTACGTCCACTTGGTGGTGCCAGAGGGGATTGAACCACATTTTGAAGCCGGGAAACGAGTCAAACCAATCGCACGGAAAGCCTCAGTGCCTCATCTCACCATCACTATTGAAAGGTACCGGTTCCTAAGCGACTCAGGCATGAGTTTCGGCTGCACATCAAGGATATTGATTAAATGCACAAATGGCTTTATAACATATTAGTACGCTTCAATTGTAGAACTACTGAGCATGTTACTTGAGGCAAAACTGCATGCGACCAGTGACAAAAAACTAACAGGTTAGCATGCAGCGCTTCACCAGTTATACTAGTAGCACTCTTGCCTCACTATATGTACAATTATATATGTATTATTGTACAGTTAATATGTATAGTGGTCCTACTTTGACGCCAAAGAATGTGAAACAACATTGGGGGGAAAAAAGCTACCATGACAAAGTCATTCATGGTGTAGCCACAAACATGCTTTTTTTTTTCCAAATTAGCATAATTTTTTTAGGTCCAGAAAGTTGTTTACCAAAAGCCATTGACATATCTACAATCTGTCTGTACTTGCATGGTGTGGTGGATTTGGTATCATCAGTACCATTTGAAGTCAGTCACAATACATTTCTTGTTTATCTGCATCTGACCTGCAGACTAATGCAACAAAGATGCAAGTACAGTGCCGTGAAAAAATATTTGCCCCCTGCCTGTGTTCTTTGCATATTTATCACACAAAGATTCCAGTTCATCAAACCAATTTGAATACCACACAGAGATGACAAGAACAGAGAAATAATAATTCACAGCACTGTTTCTTACATTTGTACCTATATAGTGTCACAGTGCAATCTGAATGGTTGACAAATTAAACACAGCAACCAGGCATAAGCAAATGTTGTCTAAGAAATGATCTTTATTTATCAAAACATCAGAATAACCAGTTACATACTTTATTGAAAAAAAAAAGCAACTTGTCAGAGCCAAGGCAGGTATGAATGTTATGTAATAATTTTACATGGATAGGCAACATAACAAATATACTGTCTGTGGAGAACTGGGTGAAATTTGGGAGGGGGAGGGGTGGTCTCTATTAAACAACGCTGTAAAACAAATTGCATATGGATCTCACCCACCCACTGCAAAAAGAGTGGGTGAATCACAGACAGAATAGCAGGGAATACACAACCGAAAAATGGATGACAAAGAAAATACGCATCGCATCCACCTAAATTAAAATGCAACTCAGACTGTACAGACTTGAGTCTCTTCCAAGCAAATACACTTCGCATATTTATTTATTTATTTATTTATTTGGAGGTAAACCACCAAACATGTGCGAGTGACTCCAGGTCAAATACAAGAATTCAGTCAATGAACGATGAAATTGAATCTTGAATCGCAGAGTTTAGAATAAATGATTAAGTAAGTCTTAGTGGTTTAACGACGCAAATGCTAGTTTCACGTACCACAATTATTCAGCCAAATTTGGGATTAAAAGCAGAAAGGTACTTGAATTTTCTTCAATTTCAGGAGAAAAAAAATTGCTGGTAATGCACAACAAACTCAAGGGAAAAAAATGTGAAAATGAGAACAAGATATCTAAACTGACTCAAGAACAAATGAGCAAATGTATTGTTCTGGGTCAGGCCTGACAAAAACACGCGCTTGGGGAAAACAAAAAAAAAGGTCCATCAGCATTTGTCCCCTTCCATATGCACAATCAGATACGCACACCTTTTGGTGTATTAGGAATAAACACACACCTGCTCTCGTCTACACACATTCCCATCGCAACGACAGAAAGTCATTCTAGACAAAACGACTCCGGTTCAAACAACAGCGGCGACTCATCAGGTTTGATGGCCACGCCCCGATCTCCCAGCGATCCCCGTGAAGGAACCATTTAAATAAACCAGCCAAAATGTACGCAGTTAGTTATCTAATTTTCTCTTTATATGTACAGTATATAACCTACACTGAAGTCTACACACAAGCCCCTTGTTAGGATGCAGGCATTGGCAGCAAAATAACTTTGACGACAACATTGATAATAGCAAACATACAAAAGCAGGACAAACACAGGAATCAAATGATTGTCAACAAAGATGATTGCCTTTAGAGATTCATAACTTAACACAAACTAGAATTCTGTTGCTACGGTAAATTGCTAATCATAAAAAAGGGGGCGGGGGTAGGTTTGTATGTATTGAAGCTGCAACATCTTTGCCTGCAACACAAAACATGTTCTTTGGATGCCAAACAGTCGTCTCGCGATCCCATTGGTCCGGCGGGAGAAGGGGGAGGAGACAACAGAAAATAACCTCCCACCCTCCCTTCTCAGTAGCAGTGGTCAGGCAGGGATGGCCCAGTCTGGGTGATGCACACGATCAATTTTTCTGCATGAACAACAACAATTAGAACTTAAATTGAATTGGAAAATGGTTTGAGGGAACTTTTATGGTTCTTAGCCTAAAAACTGAAACCGCTATACCTTTTCCATCATAACGCTAAAAACATATTTGCTACTTTTTGGGGGAACCATTCCTCTGTTATTCACTGGAAAACTTCCCTATTCTCTGAACAGTCATGACATGATTACATAGAATGTACGACGTAAACAGTTTTTGCTTCAGTTCAATGGACATTGTGCTGCTCTCTGTGGTGTGTGCACCTTGGCCACATGGGACAGTACAGTACAATACAGATATACTGCACATGGATCTGGTCTCAGCTTCCCAGTAAGCCACGTTATTAGTCACTCTTTGCACAAGTAGACGGTGTGTTAGATTATCTCTTTACATGTCAAGATGTGCTTCTTCACCGCTTGTTTAAATATTTGCTTTGCTTACATGTTTATTACACCGCCACAAAGATGCTATTCATTAACCCGTCTATCGTGTTTTGCATTGCGTGCTAAGATTAAGCTAGCGGGCTTTAACTTAATGTGTTTTAGTTAAATATATTTCTCTTTGTCTTATGTTTAATTTGGCAGTAAATGTCGATTAGGAATTATATTAAAAGGTTCAATTTTGAAGTATTGCTTACTATCTGCCCAACTGTTGCTAGTTATGTAACGAGTTGAGTTAATTACCACCCTAGCATGTTGGTATTTAAAGGTCCCACTGTACTGACAATTGGAATACATTTGAGCGTTTTTACTGCTTTTGCAATCCAAATCAGCAAAGGCCCGTTTTGTCAGATGCCACTCAAAGCATATCCTGAGCATTTGTCTGGTGTAATTTTATTTGTCCCCATCATGTGTGGTTGGCACCCATATTTTAAAACATTAAAAATAAATACTTTTGTTTGTCTGTCTGTACCCCACTTCTCTGACAGATTTTTCTCTGTCCTCATAATTGCTGAAAGGGACGTGAGATTTTCTGTGTCGATACAAAGTTACCTTACTGACTATTGGTTATGTGTAAAAAAAAAAAAACCCCTCCACAATGTCAAAAGCTTTTTCAATTTACATTTGTGTCTGTCTCTGACTCAATGTTGGAGTTCCGACAATAAAGACAAGTACTCTGTGCTCTACAGTGTTCATGCATATTGGCGATTCATTGTGATTTTTTTTCCTCTCCCAACCTATCCTCCGTTGTTCGCTGAAAAGTTCTCTCAAATACATCTAAAAGTACTGCTAA